GGCCCCCAACCACCAGGACCGCTGTCCACTTGGCGGCCAAGAGCGGCGACGCGGAGATGCTGGCCACCCTGCTGGGCGGGCTGTGCGAGGCGGACGTGACGGCGCTGGTCAACCAGGGGGACCACAATGACATCACGCCCGTGTTCCTGGCCATACAACGGTAATCTCGCTGGGCCGCCCCGCAGGGGCGCCTCGCTTGATTGTGCTGCCTGCGCGCAGCAGGGCAGACGCTTGCTCTGTCAGACGATTGGCAACTTAGAGTGTTGCGGCTGTGCCCCATCAACGCGCGGCCTATTGTCACACCTCGCACACTGCTGACGTGTCCTGTGCACTTGAAACGACCCTACCTTCTTACACCATGACTGCATGCGGGTTGTGCACTCTGTGCGCAGGGGGGAGGAGGGGCAGGACGCGTTCGAGTTTTTGATGCAGCACGGGGCGCGGTACAATGAGCCGGTGGCCGAAGAAGACGCCGCGGCAGAGGGCGGCGGCAGCAGCAGTGGCGGCAAGAAGGCGGGATAGGGGGCTGGACACCGGTGGGCGCGTCTTTGGCCAGCCAACTAACGGGCGGCAGGGCAGCAAGCGGGCTGCGTTGGCGGCGTCGCAGCACGCACATGTGTGTGTGTGTGTGTGTGTGTGTGTGTGTGTGTGTGTGTGTGTGTGATGGTCGTGCGGTGGTTCCTGCAGCCGCTCGCGGCCAAAGGCCGCCACGGTTTTGTGGTGACGATGCTTCGCATGTGATACCTCTCTTCCATGACTTTTACTTGCATCCTTGTTTGTCATAACCAACTGCATATGGTCAACCTGGTATGTTTCAGCAGGCCTCAATGGTAAGCAAGGTGCCTTGCAGCACTCGACCCACGGTTCTGCGCCAGCCGTTGCCCTCATAATGATGTGTGGGTACACAGCTCGATGTACGGGCGGCGGCCGCATATCCCACCATGTCCCAATCAGCTGGCACGCGCTGCGCCCAGGACGGGGCCGTCAGCACAGGCTGGCAGACAGGTGTTGGATGTCGTTGGGGCCGGCTGTGCTTCACCAAGCCACTAATGTGAAATGTTTGTTTGGTGCGCTACGTCGACAGGCCCGACGGGACAACGCGTAAAACCTATGTTCTAGACGATGCAAGATTTGCGGCCGACCCTGGTTTGGCGGATCCTTTCAAGACCCCCGGCAGACAGGCGGGTGGAACCTCGATCGAGAGCACGCAGACGCTGAACGTACGTGCGTGCGCGCGCTGCGGCGGATGAATGTCGTTTCCTGCTGGCTGTCGTCGTTGGCCGGCTGGGTTGGCCGGCTTGCTGACTCTCCCGATATTGTGGTGGTCGGGGTCGGAGTGGGAGCTCGCGGTGTCAAGGGGCGCCGTGGCCTGCGCGGCAGACAGGTGAAGGGCTGGCGGGGCGGGGGCTTCGTTGGTGCTGGGAGGAGCGAGCAGGCAACTTTGAGGACCAGCTGCACAGGGTCTTGAGCCTGGGGCCAGAACTGCCTTGTGAGGCAAGGACCTGGATGTAACATCAGGCTTTGCGTCACCCTTCACAGCTGCGCAGCCTCTGCGCTTGTGATCTGATTGCGTGCCGGCGGGTCAAACACACTTTGCGATGGCGCGAAGATCATGACGTTTGGCATTTGCGATTTTCATCCTCATGCAGGAACAACCATTACATACATTCTTTGCATGGTCAGCCTGCACAGCCCCACACATACTGCACAGTCGATCGCGCGGCTTTCACCCACTTCATCATACTGACGATCTATATTAGTATTCTGCACTACATATGCATATTGATATGTTTCGCTAGCAGCGACGAAACAACTTGTTGCCAGATTTGAAATCCACGGAAGGGCCGCTTCCGTGGAAACCCTGTCTCTCGCTGCAGGAATAGGAATGGGAATGGGATTTGGAATGAAAATAGGATCTTGATTATTGGAACAAAAAGCGCGTGCCGCTGCACACAGCTCTCTGGTTGTGACGCTCAAGACTGTTGATCAAATCATATGGTGTCTGCTGAGGAGCAAGGGTCCAGACACTGCTGAGGAGCAAGGAAGGGCCCGCTAAAGGTTGCACGGTGCTCTTGCACGGCGAGGCCTGGTCTCGCCCGGTCAGCAACCCTGCCTGGGCAGTGGGCGCCCGGCTCGGGCTCCACAACATGGGCGTGTGCTGCAGACCGGCGCGGTCGGCGGTCGAAGGTGGCGAGCATGTCACCGGCGGGGTCATGCATGCTAAGGTCAGCCGCTGACATGTTTGTGCACTTGGATCGATTTGGCGTGCTCTTCATGGGCCTTGGCTGGTGCGCTCTGTCTAAGCTAGCGCGGTGCGCTGCCCATGGGGTGATCCTCTGCAACTACAGTAACCGTATGCGTGCAGCTTGCTGGCTTGGATAACCAGCCCAACCTTTGTCCATTGCTACTCTGTGCTTGGCCATGGCGGCGACGCTGTTGCACAGCTACAGAACGTGACCGTTACTCCTTGACCAACAGGTTGCTGACAAAGCCAAGACCAGCCGCGCGGGCGCGCGGCTAGGCCAAAAGCGTGGCAAGCATGGGCGAAGATGTCGTGCACACTGGACGCCTGTGCGCAATGGGGTCCGGGCGGGCTGGCATCCCAGACTGATGAATGCGCGCATGCAAGTCAACTAGCGTGACAAAGAGGCACCTGCCCCCTGGCAGCGGAAGCTGCCAGTGGGAGCATGGGAGGCAATGGTGCAGCAGCCCCCAGTGTGCATGACAGCCTGTTGGTAAGTGTCTCTATGCAACAGCGAGGGCAAAGCCAGCCGAACAAGCACGCGGGTCGTGTGCATGTATGCAAACCACAAGCCAACCTAGCGTTACTGCGCCTACCGCGTAACACAGTTCATTAAATGGGCATGCCGCCTAGCGGGCTGGTGGGGTGGGTGGGGAGCACATGATGGCCGTAGGATTGGACTGGCACCGGGCGCGATGCTTTGTGCCGAATTGGCGGGGTGTGCAAGGATTCACAGCGCGTCTGCTCATTTGCATGTATGTGGATGCGACCTGCTTCGGCTTGTCGGCCGTCGGCGTAGCCCAGGAGATCATTCATGTTTGAGCATAAGCTGAGAAGATACAGGATGACAGGGGGAAGGATGGGCGCGCCAGCGAACTCAGGTCACCTGCTGGTGGAGCCGTGTGGGCTCCCAAGTTGTGGATCGCAAATGTGGCTTGCAAAAGTGGCAATGTGTTTACCACACCAGGAATGTGCACCCTGTCAAGCACGTGTTTTCCTGGGGGCGGGTGCACCCCTGGTCGGCGCAGGCTGCGGTGATTGCATTTGTGCTGTTGCCCTCAAGGCTTGCTGCAACCCTCGTTGAGCACAGGCTACCCGCAGTAGCCGTTGCATTGGCGCTCGTGCCTGCTGCAGCGGCTGCTGTTAGCCATAGTGCTGCTGGCAGTGGTGGTGCTGCTGCTTCCGAGCGCTTTGCATCATCATACTGCCTTCGATGGTGCTCGCGCTGTGCTAAATCGTGAGCCGCGCGGATGCTCGTGACCTGCGTGCACGGGTTGACTTTTTGTCGTTCGGCTTGGCGTGGTTTTTGCGGAACACACGAGGTCGGAAGAGTATCGTGCTGCTCCCAAGAATATAATGGCGAGCCCACGGGGCCGTTCGGACGAAGGGACACCGCGGTGAGCGGTGGTAACGTGTGTGACCGGGCACACGCTTACATTGATTTGCATTGGTGAGGCACGCATGTGCTGTGCCAATCGTAAATTGACACGCCCCTGGCCTGGGAGGTTCGGAGGTAGTCACCGTGGCCAGCCACGCGGCGTCGCGCGGTGACGGCTGGAGACCGGGCTTGATGCGCTCCCGCAAAGTTGTTGGAGTGGAGGGCCAACGCAGGGGGAACGCGACGGTGCTGTTGCGTGTGTGACTGGCGTGGCAAGCACCCCGATACACAGCGCGCGTGGCTTACTGCCCCGCCCATCAGTCCATGCACTGGTGCACGCACCCACGCGTGGGACATAGGTCATTATTCGTGGTATCACATCATGGACTGCAAGGCTGCACGGCTGTCACAGCACACGCGAGGCGCACGTGGCGCGCATCAGTCACATCAGTCACCGTGGCCGGCCGCGCGGCGACGCCCCGCGCGCGCGCGCCCGAACCTCGCCGTATGTGGGGGCCGACCGCCTCAGAGCCTGAAGCGCGCCGCCCCGACCCCTCTGGCGCGTGCGGCCCGCCGCGCCGGCCCCCCATGCGCGCGCGGCGGCGGCGAGATGCCGGCGCGATCTCGGCGAGATCCGGGCCGCCGCGGGTCCCCCGGCGCGCGTTTGTATTTTTAGGGGCGTGCATCTGCATCCTCTCGCCGCGCCGAATTTCTGTGCCGGTTTACAGGCCTAGGGGGGCCGATTCGGCTATGCCCTGCGTCGCTGAGCCCTAAATGGGGCCTGCGTGGTAACTACTAGAACCGTAACGTACCCGGCTGCCCCTGCAGCCTGCTGGAAGCTGTGCAGCTGCTGAGGCGTCAGAACGCGATGCACAGCAAGTCGGCGTCAGTATCACAATCGAAAGTGGTACTTATCGCCCAACTGGCAGAGGTAGCGATCGACGTGCCAACTACGCCGATGTCAGTGCTCGAGGCACTAGTGAACCCCCCGCAATTAGCCACGTCTGCCATGCCGAAAGCATCAGAGCCCGACCACCAGTTAGCGCGGCCTGTGAACACGCCTGCATCCAGTAAGGATTTGGGGATCCTGCCCTGCAGCAAGGTCGCAAAGTTGCTGGCCAGGACGACGCCGCTCAAAGACTCGACAGCCAAGTTGCTGGGAACCTTGTACAGGGTGGGGAAATCAGAAATCTGGTCGGTTGTAGATATCGATAGGAACGCACGCGCTTGCGCGGCCCCGGCGGGCTTGAACACCGAGGCCTTGCACAGGGCATCAGCGCCAGACCGGCCGCCAAGGTTTCCGTTCCTGGTTGTATCGGACTCTCTGTACAGCACCAGCTTTGGGACCACCAGCATGTACCGCGTCGCAGGGATGCCGCCCAGTGTGACCGCATTGAGGTTGTTGAAGTCAATGGCAGTCACGTTAGCCACGGTGGCTTCCAGGGCAGTCAGGGTGGCGTTGAGCGACGCGACGGCCGCCGCGCCTGAGGTGACTGTGGACTTGACGAACTCGACGGTGGCGTTGGTCAGGGAGATTGCCGCCGCGTCCGCCTCCTGGGCCGATTTGGTGGCTGCCAGGGTGATCTTGAGCGCCGCGATCTCCCGGGCAATGGTTGCCGGGTCGGTGGCGTTGGCGGCGCCGGCCTTCAGCTCCTGCACTTGGGCGGTGAGCGCTGCAATCTCCCGGGCTGCGGTCTGGTTTGCCGCCTCCAGCAAGGCCAGCTTCTGGGCGGTGCGCGCGTCGGCTGCTGCAAGGGCAGCGATCTGCTGGGCAATGCCTGGGTCGGTGCCATTAGACGTGTTTGCCTGCGTTCCCTGCGGGTTGCCGGTGAGCGCGGCAACTGCCACACGGAGTGCGTCCATCTCGGCGCGCAGCGCCGCAAACTGGTTGCTGTCTTTCATGACAGCGGCCTGTGCAGAGCTGGCCTGGGCGGCGGCGGCGTTGACCTTGGGCTCAAGGGCTGCCAGGTCACTGGACACTTTGTTGACCTGGGCGGCAGTGGCCACGCCGCATCCGTAGCGCAGCTTGGTGGGGTCCTGGGAAGGTCGTGAAGTGCAACCAACGCGGGGGGCGTGGTGATGGGCAAGCTGCGCGAGGTCGGGCTGACGCGGAACCATGTCTCTAGAGCTACACCTGCTGTTTGACCATGTGGGTGAATACTATTGCTCCAACTGGACGTGACGTGAGTGTATAGTGCTGCTAGCCGCTCATAGAAATTCGCAAATGCGCCACCATGCAGCACAACAATCTTCACTGCCTGCTTTGTGCCACATGCAAACACCACAACGTACCAGACAATACAACAGCCACCTGGCAACTCACAAGAGCTACCACATGCACGCATGGGCCCATGCTATGCGCGCGCCTGCGCGCACCTTGCTGTCAGCCGTTGCGTTGGCGGGTGCCAGCAGCTCGCTGCACAGCTGGTCCATGACGGCTGGACCGGCCTTGGAGCACTTGTTCAAAGCCTTTACAGGCGTGCACTGCATGCGTGGAGGGACGTGGATTAGGATCAGGATTGTTACAAGATCCCGCGGTCGACCGCTCCTGGAGCCATCCAGGCTCACGGGATATGACTTAGTAGCATCAGCATTGTGTGACAGGGATTCAAGAGACGTGCGGCGCCGCATGGTTGCTCAACAAATTGCAGGGTGCTGGCCTTGCACATGCATGCCAGACGTGTGGAGTGCAGGCAAGCAGCTGGGTGGGCATTCTAATTGTTGTTATTCCACGTCGACAGGGCCATGCTCGACCGCACTCGTCAACAAAGACAGCTGTGCACTCCAGAGGTTGCAAGGGCCCAAGGCAGCACTCACTATTGCCAGCTTCGTCTTTTTGGGTTTTGCTTCAGGGCTGCGTGGAATGCCGCAGGCAAAGTAAGGGTTAGCGATGGGGTTCAGTGCTGGAGCAGATTGTCGCTTACCCACATGCAGCGCTTACCCACACGCAGCGCGTGCAGGCGACTGCAGCAGGAGGTTAGACCTCCAGGGGTGCGATCGACAAGTGGTCGTGTGCAGGCCGCGCGTGCATTGGCTGGGAAGACAGTGCAAGTGCAGGCATGCAGGCTTGTGCGCAGAGCTGGGTTGGTCAGGCACACAAGCCGGCTGCGACGCCAGCAATTAGTAGCACGTGTCTGGGGGTCACCAAAGGTGATGTTGACAATCAGGGGAAAGCTCCCATGGTCTAGGGGCCGGGGCTGCTGCTGCAAAGCAGCGTGACCTCGTTGTCTGCCACGTGTTCGCCATCTGTGGCCTGGGCCTACGCACTGCTGCAGAGCTCTTGTCAGAGGGCCCCTCCTCATCTCCCCCCCCCCCCACACCGCAGCAGCCTGCGCACCTGGCGCACCGCACCCCGCCCAGCATGCTGACCAGCAGTAAAATCACAGTCAAAAAAGCCATCGTGCACCGCATGCTGAGCATGGCGGAAGGCATTGGCCGCACTGCGACTGAATCAGTGTCCGATGACCTCGCTCCTCACGAGACAGAGGCTACCTTTACTCGGATCTAAGATATTGTTTGCATGAATGTTATGAAAGCGCGGAGCACTTGAGAGGGCTGTGCCTCAACTGCAGGTGCAGGCCATGTTCTCAACCCGGCAGCTTTACTAGTTGACGGGTAATCCTGCACAACCCATCTCCAGTCTCAAATGGCGTTGTCCACAGGCCACACTTGGTGCATAGGTGGCCAGGTGCACATATAATCTTTGTCGCAACATGCCAGGGCCTGGGGATGGCCAGGGGGCCCTGGTATGACTGTTCCCGGTCACCGTAGTAGGGTGGCCTGCTGGCACTGCTGCCAGGCCACATGTCAACATGTGCTTTGTCATTCAACACGGGGCTTCAGCTCCATCAGGGAGGCTGCTCAGGGTCCTTCAAAGGTAGAAAGCAGAAACAAAAGAGAAAACATCCAAGTCGCATGCATGCAGTCAGGAGTATGCCGTTACCCTGTGGCGACTGGAGGAGTCCACCGCCCTTCGATAGACACCCACACGGCAAATGTGCAAATGTGGCATGCAGCGGTGTCCACAAAGCAAGTGGGGTATCCCTGCCTTGCATGCTACATACGACGGAGTTTATCCATCTCTGCCCCAAGAGTAAAAGCATACCTCAACAACCTTGGAATTGTGGTCGGCCGTCACCGTCTCACAGGAGGGAAGTGGCGAGTGTGCGGCAAGCAACAGTTTCCCTACCACTAGTTGTGAACCCGCCGCGTTGCTGGCGGAGTTGCATAAGAATTGCTTTGGTGTCTTGCTTGAATAATACACTTGGTGGTTGAGAGTGATTGTAGCACCTCACCACACACCAAGCAAGCGTTCATCACCCCTGCAGGGGTGTGACACCCTGCCGACGGGCAACACAGGAGGGGGCAACATATAGCTCACTGTAATCAAGAAAGAAACACAGCCAACCGGCCACCGCAAAGCCTGAATGGGAGCCTGTCATCGTCAAGAGGTGGAGTATGTAGTGCCGAGGCGGGGGATGCAGCCCCACTTGTCCTTTTTGGGGCCCGTGGCGACCTCAACCTCGATCACACGGTCCATCAGTCACACCGCAATGAGGTGCGTTTTGTTGGCGTGGCCGTCAATCACATTGCAAAGTGGGATGACAGTGCACCCCTCTCACAGACGCAACGTGAGGGGCGGCACTTCAAGGTTCAGGCTCGCCCCCCACCATAGTCTCGTTTCGGTAGTGGTGTGCATCTTAAGCTGCGCCGGCGTGCCATCTAAACATGGTGTAGGTTGGGCGACAGCCACTGCTGATTTAGTTGTTCCTCATGCGATATCTGTCAGGTGTGCTTGCCAGCCAGTGCACTGCATTCCTCGGCCAAGGTCTTTCGCACAGGCGGGTGCATCTGCCATTGATAGTGAGGTGGTGGAGTCCTCAACACACCACCACGCCGGCACACCAAGAGCACAGCCCCACTGCCGCACGGTATGCCAACGCAAGGTGCACGTTGTCGTCGCGAAGGTGCCATTCCATTGAGGAGAGCATCTCCATTCAATTGCTGTAGCTGAGTGACAGCCACACCTCCCCAAAGTACCAAAACGGCCACCAAGCTCCTCCTGCGTCGGAGCTGCCTTGCACGCCTGCAGCTGTGACCGATTTGCGCTCTCCCACAGCCGCCATGTGGCAGAGGCGCCCAACCATGATAGTCGCCACAGAGGCTGGCAGGTGTGTGCAAAGACAACCCTGAAAGGCTCGTCCTGGCACTGCTCCGCCCAGCGAGCGCACAGGTCTGCCTTGTGCTACAGCACTGTGGCACAGGACACGTCGCGGCGGCTCAACAACCACCTGCATTCCTGCGTCGAACGCCATCTACGCCGATACATGCATTGGTGAATCTGTTTTGGTGGCGTTCGCGCAATACCGTAGCGATAGTCAGTCGATCGTGGCGATGCCGTACGTGTTCACACATATCATAAAGCAACCATGCTGTGTGACAGCAACCATTGTTGTGCTGCGAGATGACCGGCACAAACCCATCTCCAGTACTGAAAGTGAGCTGTAAGTACCAAAGTATGTACATCGAAGTCGACGTGTGAGTGTTGAAGTGCCCTGTCCCGGTATGGAAGTCGCTGGCTTGGTGCCGGTGACGACCCCGTATGCGCGTACATGAGCGCGATACTACCATGAGAGTGCTTCAAGTGTTTCGAGCGGCAACGTCGTGGTGCCTGAAGCGGGTAGACGCGCACCGACGTTGCTCTACACGGCTTATCACGCCTTCAAACCCGGTAAATGAGCTCATATTGGCCTCCTCCATTTCTGGACACTCGCGTCTGCCGATGCAGCGGCCCAGCAGCGCCGCTTCGGCCGATGCAGCGTTACAGACGCTCGGCCCTGATTAGCACTAGTGTTGAACCCGCCGCGTTGCTGGCGGAGCTGCATAAGAACTGCATAGGTGTCTTGGTAATAGAATAGAATTGGTGGTTTGGTGTCATTGCAGCACCTCACATCACACTGGGTTGCAAGCCTGCCCCCCAGCCGGGACGTGCCTCATCAGGGCGCGCCGCATGACGCTGGGCACCAATAACCCAACGCCCTTTCAACAGCCCATCAGGAGGCAGCAAGGTAGAGCTAACCGTGCGTATTAAATGAAACAAAACACGGAAAGCTGGCGGCGGCAAAGCATGAACGGGGGCCTATCACTGTCAAGAGGGAGTAATGCTCAGGCAGGGGGGCAAGCCCTTCTTGCCCCTGTTGGAGCCTGTGGCGACCTTTGTGTGGTGAGGGTGCCATTCCCTTGAGGAGAGCATCTTCGCCTGTTTGCTGTAATTGAGCGACGGCCACACCTCCTCAAAGCACCACAACGGCCACCACGGCTCCTCCTGCACTGGAGCTGCCCTGCACGTCTGCAGCTGTGGCCGATACAGTATGCGTGCCCAGACCCGCGACTACTGTATTGGCAGAGGCGCCCAACCGTGATAGTCGCCACACACGCCGGCAGGTAGTGTTCAAACACATCCTCAGAGCCGCGTCCTGGCACTCCTCCACCCAGCGAGCGCGTGTCGAGCCTTTACGTCCAGGCCTGACTTGCGCTGCTGCAGCACAGGACCCGTTGCCGGGCAGTGGTTCAACAACTATTTGCATTCTTGCGCCAAAAGCCATCTACATAATATGACATTTACAATCCCATCCAATGGTGTCCGTGCAATAGTGACAGACAGTCGGTCGTGGCGATGCCAGACATGTTCAAAGATCCAGCAACCATTGCTGTGCAGCAACCATTGTTGTGCTGCGAGCTGATCGCCACAAACCCATATCCTGTTGTTGGTGATAAAAGTGAACTTTACGTACTAAAGTGCGGTAATGGAAGACGACGTGTGTATGTTGAAGTGTGTCCGGGTATGGAAGGGCTTGGTTCGGGTGACAACCGTGTATGCGCTCACGTGAGCGCGGGATTCGAAACTTTCTGCTTCAAGTGTTATCTTTCGAGCGGCAACAGGCACGTCTTGGTGTCTGAAGCGGGGAGACGCTGACGGGCTTTGCTCTACACGGCTCATCTGGCCTTGGAAACCGGCATATAAACTTATATCGGCCTCCTTCATTTCAGGGCACTCGCGCCTGCTGGCACAGCGGCCCAGCAGCGCCGCTTCGGCCGATGCAGCGTTTCATACGCTCGCCCCTGATTAGGATATTAGGATGTGTGGGAACCTTGGTCACCGTGCGTGTGGGGTCTGCTGCTAAACCGTATGTATAGTACCGTATGGTGTGCACAAACATGTTACGGTGTGATGTTGCACGGTACAGGGCGGCGCCCGGAGCTCCAGTAGCTTTGCACTCATGTCATGATGCCAAGCCGAGAAGGTTGACAGCACTTTTCAGGGAGGTGAACAAAAGCCTCCCATGCTTATTTCGCGAATCAAAACGCTTCATTCACCCTGGAGGTGTAAGTGACCACCATCATCCCACAGGGGATGTGCAGTACTGTAGCAA